GGTAGCACATAATACAACATCTAAATTATAAGTCCATTATACCAAATGACTACATCTGGGCCCATCCTTTCCCTCTGGAAAGGCTAATAATAATATGTCTCATCACTCACCAAATAAGTACTAACCCTGGAAAGAATCAAGAGAGAGGCATTTGGAAACAGAGCAACTAAGAGGGGATTCTTCTAGGGAAAAAGCATTTATGAATATAAAAGCCACTTTAGAAAGACTTAGGAACTCATTAAGTCACAAAAAAATGATTTCTAAACCTCACTTCAGTTATTGATTTTTAACAGTCTGAGGCATGCCTTCAGATTCAACATTTATAAATTCTGGCCCGTATTTGAAATGGCCATTCAAGTTCCTTGTCATTTAATAGGGAAACCAAAGAAACATTCTTTACAACTTTCTATTCAAACCCTGTGAAAAGCCCTCCATCCCGTGTTGTTGATGGGTGTCTTCAGACAGCTCTCTTTTATAGTGAGGAGGCAGGCTGTTGTTATAGGGTTCAGTTAATAGTTGGTAGAGATAATACAAGATAGGGAATGTATCTGGCGGCCAGGATATTGGACTAATCCTCGCTGATGGACGGCACAGCAGATCCTCCAGGCATCAGTGCGATGGAGACGAATAGTCAAGAACCTGCAGTGACAGTCAGCAAGATGCGAAGGAGAAACACGAGAGCTGCGATTCACTAAGGAGAGATGGCAATGGGGAAAAAGGCCTTCCTTGTTAAAACCTGTGCTGATTTGGAAAACAGTGTGGAGATTCCTTAAGAAATTAAAAATAGAGCTTCCCTATGACCCTGCAATTTTTATCTACCCCCAAAGACAGAGATGTAGTGAAAAGAAGGGCCACCTGCACCCCAATGTTCATAGCAGCAATGGCCACAGTCACCAAACTGTGGAAAGAACCAAGATGCCCTTCAACAGATGAATGGATAAAGAAAATATGGTCCATATATACTATGGAGTATTATGCCTCCATCAGAAGGGATGAATACCCAACTTTTGTAGCAACACGGATGGGACTGGAGGAGATTATGCTGAGTGAAATAAGTCAAGCAGAGAGAGTCAATTATCATATGGTTACACTTACTTGTGGAGCATAAGGAATAACACGGAGGACATTGGGAGTTGGAGAGAAGTGAGTTGGGGGAAACTGGAGGGGGAGACAGAGACAAACCATGAGAGACTGCAGACTCAGAAACAAACAGGGTTTTGGAGGGGAGAGGGTGGAGGGTTAGGTGAGCTTGGTGGTGGGTATTATGGAGGGTACGTATTGCATGGAGCACTGGGTGTGGTGCATAAACAACGAATTTTGGAACATTGAAAAGAAATAAAATAAAATGGAAAAAAATAAAAAAATAAAATCTGTGCTGAGTACTACACAGGTCTGGCAGCGGCTAACTTCCCACTCTGTGCAAGGAAGAAGAAACCAACTGCACCAGGAATGTCCAAAGGTACTCTGACCAGCTGAAGAAGGGAGAGGGGCCATGTGTCTAAAACAAGCTATTGGTGTTGACTAAGAAAAAAACGAAGATGTCATTGTGAAACACTGAAAATATGTACCAGCCTGAGATCAGTTCCACGAACTTCACTGTAAAATCACTCTTCTTATACATAGGTGGCTTCCACACAGAGGCAAGATATATTTAAACCATACAACACGATACACTTCAACCCTAGAAAATCATCCCCTTATGATAGCTATTAGCTAATGGTCACTTGACTTCAAAAAATGAAGACTTTATGAGTCCTCTTGGCTCACTGAAAATACATGTTAAATGCACGTTGAGAAAGTTCAAGCAAATGGAAGGGGTTTGGTGACTTTTGGTACGTAATGTCTTACTGGGATTAGGAGCCGAGTACAGTTATAGTCTTGCTTTTATTCATCTATTTGACTCTAGATGGCACAGCTAATTCTCAGTAAGCAAAAGAGAAACCACTAAAAATGGCAAAGAGCTGCAAAAGGGTTACTACTTCTAACGTCAGGAGCAAGGCAAGGCAAGGCAATACAAGAATTGCTTACATGTCTAATCTCAGAGCAAATCACAGAAACTCGCTGGGTAAATTAATTCATTACCACACAGCACAACCCTGAAAAATTTACATAAACTCACTGTATATCAATTTTCCCAGCTACAAAATGGGAAGATATTCAACCCTCCTTTTTTTTTTAATGCAAGTTTTTTCTGTAGCTACCTGGAAAAAAGTGCTTCACAAAAGAAAACAAAATGCATATTACTCAGCCTTATAAAGGAAGAACATTCTGACACAGGCTACAGCACAGATGATCCCGACGATATTATGCTAAGTGAGATAAGCCAGCCACAAAATGACAAATATGGTATGAGTCCACTTATATGAGATACATAGAGACAGAGAGTGGAATAGTGGCAGTCAGGGGCCGGGGGGATGGGACAATGGGGGAATTATTGTTTAACAGGTACAGAGTTTCAGTTATGCAAGATGGGAAGAGTTCTGGAAACTGGTCGCACAACCGTGTGAATATGTGGAAAACTTCTGAACTGCACACTTCAAGTGGTTAAGAAGGTACAATCTTGTGTTTTGTATTTCTACCACAGTTAAAGGTTTAAAAAAACAAAGGAGTAAAAGGCACAATAAGCCTAGCACTGTGCCTAGCACGAGGACTTGATCCGTCTACAAGTACTAAGGACATGAATGAAGAAGGCTCTTCACGTAAGACAGATGAGATCTAATCTGACTGGCCTACCACCACTGGGGTATCTTTAAACATTTCCAGAAAATGACCCAGCGTGGTACAATGACGAAGGAACCACAAATGATAGTTGTCAATGAGTTATCTGCTCTGCCAAGCTCTAGCCCTCACAGGGACCATCCCTTTCTGAGAATCAAACAACAGACATCCCATGCAGGCAGTGCAGCCACACAGGGTAAGGAAAGCCAGCTTTGGGCCAGCCCAGAGAGCCTGTGTTGGAGGAAAGGGGCCAGTATGCCCCTGGGGAAAGGGGCTGCAGGTAGCAGGGCCATGGGCTCATACGTGTTCTTCTGCAGCCACTTGGATACCACGTGGTAACGCAGCAGCTTACTGATCTAACCAAGGAAGTTACACTGTTCCGGTCTTATGCTCCTTGACAACACATAGTTCTGTCTGCAGAGGACTTTGGAAGGTATTCCATTAGTAAGTCAGAAGATATTCTGATGAGTCCGTTTACTCACTCACCCTAAACTTACTGATCCCCATCACCAGCAGGTGCACTGATGGTCATGGCACAAAGACAAACATATCTTGCTCTTTTGCCCTTCAAGTCTGGGGAAGGGACAGAGGCAGGCCACCAGGTCACAGTTCATTTAAGAATGTTGTATTTTCATGACGTATTTTGAGGTTAGATAACTCTAATTAAGGAAAAACTCATTCATGGGGCTGGGACACTGAAAGCTTACTCTCTCTCAGAGGCTATAAATATAGTTAAAAAACAGAACATGTACACATTGGGCGCTTGTAAACTAAACCCACAAGAAGGAGTGGTCAAAAATCCCGGAGGAATTGAATTAGCCTTCAAAGAAGAGATTATTACTTTAGACTAGGCTAGGTTTGGGAAGAGGGAAATAGGATATATTCTAGCCAAGGTAAGGTCTTGTTTAAAAAAAAAAAAGGTACATGAAAAAAATTATGTGCGATCAGTGATGAGAAGATACTCTTGCTAGGATATATGTGTGTGTCAGAGGAGGAGGCTGGAGGATGGTGATAAGACTGGAGAAGTAGCTCTGAATCATGTTGACTGGCTTTGTCCTGAAGGTTTTAGAAATATAACTTAGGTGGCAGGTAAGCAAGAATGACTGTTTAGATAGGAGGACTATTTAAAAGGCTATTGCAACAGATTAAGCAAAAAAGTAGAGATGGCTCTAAGTAAATGTGTCCATGATATTAAGAATTCAAGTATAAGGAGAAGCAAAGAGGAGAGCAAAGGAAAACCCTAGCTTGTGTGACTTCCGGTTCCCGGAAGAACCAAAGACTAGGGGATGATCATGTCTTCAGCTAGAAGTACTTTGCATGTAAAATTCAGTTTCCTCATTCACAAAATGAGGATAAACAATAAATGATTCAACTGGATCTTGGAGTTGATGGGAAGATTAAATGAGAAAATAAATACAAAGAACATATTACTATTACTTATGCCTAGATTTGTGGAAGTATGGACCTGGAGAGAACCCAGGGCTGAAGAGAAATGTTTGAGAGCTCTCGGTACAGGAGTTATGGTTGGTAATGCTGAAAGATATAAGCTGATTATCCCGGAGATGATGTCCTGTCATCCAGGACTAGACCCTGCGCAGATGAGAGCATGAGGCCCTGGGCTGCAGGGCCCCGAAGATGACTTTGAAGGAATGATCCAAATATGGGAGTCTGGAGAAAATGGTATGATGGAAAAATTTTAAGAAGTAGCTAGCCAGAAGAGTCTATTCTTTCCAGAAGCTGGTAGGATGAGAGCTGGAAGGGGTGGGTTTGAATGCTGAGGAGTTCAAGGCACCCACGGCAAAAGCCAGTCCGGTGAGGGGGACGGGTGGAGGCTGACCACAGTCCAGGGAGCCAAGTTGTATTTTCATGATGTATTTGGATGTTGGATAATTCTAATTAAGGAAAAATTCATTCATGGGGCTGGGACACTGAGAATTTACTCTCTCCCAAGGGCTACAAATACAATTTTTCTTCTTTATTTAATCTGAAGAACAGAAGGCTTTGTGAATCAGACAGAGAGAAATTGCTGCTGTTTGGATTCATTGGTATATTTTTTCACAGAGAAAAGAACACCAGGTTTGGAGGAAGGAGGGAAGAGCCGATGTGAAAAAAACATAAAGCCCCACAAGCAAAATAAGGACCTGTCTATGGTAACGTAGAAAGCAGGACTAAGCTAGCCCTGTCAGAGAACAGGAGTGAGCACCTTTGAGACTCTACACCCAACTGCCAGGGGCCACCCAGCACACATATCTGCAAGCGTTTCACAGCCCAACAATTCTTACCTTTCTTTTGATATCAGTGAACTGGGAAAACATTAAAGACCAATAAAACGACAGCTCCAGGATATAATAGTAGTGAAGGTCAGTTGTGAGTGGCTGAGGATCAAAGAAAAAAAGGAAAGATTAATAGTTAATAGGAAACCAATTTGTGTCCCCAGCATCTCAAGCTCAGGGCTGCAAAGGGACACGGTGTTACGCCTCCACGAATCCCAGCCCCATTCTCTCTATGGAGAAGGGCTTTGAAGCAAGCCTCTGATTTGCAGCGTGATGGCCTTAAGTTTTGTTTCAGCCCCACCAAAAAAGTGTCAGTGAATAGGAACATTTGGTACCCAATTCACTATTTATTTTAACAACAAGATTTATAGTTCCTTGATATAAGTATCTGTAAGATTCCTTGGGCAACCTGGAAAAAAAAAACCCAAAAAACAAACAACAAACAACAACAACAAAACCAACCACATACACAAAAAGAATAACTCAGGAAAGTGCTGTGAAATTCCACAGTACAGGGGCAATGGAGGTAGGTGTCAGAAACTGGGGTGTCAGATGGGACATGGAGGCAGAGTTTCAAGTTCTGCATTAATCAGAGCTTTCTTGGTATTAGGAAATGTTCCAGACATTGTAAATATCAAAAAAAGGTAACTCAAAAATATTTATGAAAAGACACAGGGAAAAGGAAGCTGACAAGAAATATCAGGCTAGGCCCCCAGCCAGGAACTCTGAGACCAAGTCTTGGCTCCATAGCTCAGTAGGTATAAAATCTGGGCCTTAATTTACTGATTGTAAAATGGAGGTGACACCTGCTCTATCTGCCTCAGAGGTCCAGGAATGGGGAGGGCCTCAGGGAGGCAGCAGAAGTCAGGAATATTTATTGTATTTACTAAGCTATAATGAAATATCTTACTTTACCAGAAGACCTTTGAAATGCATCATCTCCAAGCTATCCACAATGTAACAGTATATACAGTAACTACAATTGAAACTTTAATGCTCTGTGAACTAATAGCAGCATAACAAATCACTTTCATGAGAAGCTGGCACTCGCTTAACTACTAAGTCTACCAGCTTTATGCACTGGCACTAAAGAAAACAGTTGTCCCTCCCACTGAGCTTTGACAACAGTGAGGGGACAGGATGCTGCACCACCAGCGATCCCCAGGCTCTGAGAGACAAGGAGTATCCAGTGTGTTTATCAAACTCAGCACCACCCCAGGGAGCATACATTTTCCACTGAATTGTCCTTTTAAAAATTTGCAGGCATTAGCAGTAAGGGATGGGTATTCAGGTCAGACACATGGCAGCAATGAATCTAGAAAATAGGGCACTGGCTTTAGGACCTTTGAAGCCAAGGTTAAATTTCAGTTTTAATGAGATTTCCTGCACCACCACCTGGGAAAAGCCATGGAGGGTAGGAAGACAGTGAGAGCACATCTAGAAACCACTGAGCTTGTAAGAGCATCACATTACAAAACTGCCGCATTCAAGGAGCGCTCTGCAGCTGACAAGGCTTACCTGTATGTTAATTTCTTTGACTCTCATAAAAATCCTATGGAATTAGTACCATCATTTTCTAGATGGTATAGTTGAGGTCAATCACCAGTCTTCCGGGTAGTGAGGCTCTGTGACTACCGTGTTAGGGCTTCTCATTCCCAACTTGGGCTCTTTATGACAAATGACAAACTAAACAGGCCACTCTTTATGACAAACTAAGGCCACTTTCCATTATTTTAAACTTAAAATATACACATGTATATAAAAATCATCTTATAATAAGTTACATATATACTAATACACAAGAAGCAGTGTGCCTTTAATAAAATTGCAACAGACCACTACTCTCAACTAAATATATGTCCAGTTATTTAATATACATGTTAAGGACATAATAAATATGCTTCATGAGCATGATCTGTCTTTAAAAGTACCCTTAAGGCCTGAGACCGACTCTGAACTGTAATCTATATACTTATGGAGACATAGCTACCAACAATGCACTCTAATTACATACATAATAATTACATGCTTTTTTCCCCCCACGCATACAAAAAGAAAGAGCTGATTTTTTTTTTTTTTATTAGAATACAGAGTTTATCAAAGCTGACCACTGTTCCTATGAGAGATCATGAACTGGTCCTAGATTTGGGGGGCTAATGCCAAATTATTCATTTATAAGCAAGGATGTCTTAGCAGAAGACAATCTTGATCTGAATCCCCACACACAGTATCTTTCCTTCTATGCTAATGATGTTTCTTATTTTTATTTTATTATTGTTATCATTTTTTAAAGCCTTTATTTATTATTTGAGAGAGAGCAGAGTGAGAGGGGAAAATGAGTGAGAGAGAGAGAACAAGAGTAGGGGGAAGGACAGAGGTTGAAGCAGGCTCCCCACTGAGCAAGGAGCCCAAAATGGGACTCAATCCCAGGACCTGGGGATCACGACCCGAGCCAAAGGCAGACACATAACTGACTGAGCCACCCAGGCACCCCCATTTTATTATTTTTTAAAGATTTATTTTAGTTTATTTTATTTTTAAGTAATCTCTATAATCAACGTGGGACTCAAATTTACAACCCCGAAATCAAGAGTCATGTGCTCTACCAACTGAGTCAGGCAGGCACCCTAATGTTTATTTTTAAATATAACTATCTACCAGACCCTCAAATTTTCATGTTAAATCTCTAGTTTTGTCTGTGAAATGCTCAGCAACTACAGTTTTCGGCCACTGCCCCAGCAACTAATTATCTTAGAAAAAAGCAATTCCTTAGCTCTAGCCATAAATGTGAAAGTTATTTCAGATTACGTCATCATTATGAAGAGTGGGTATTACATTTCATGTGATGTTTGTCTCAATGGTGTTCATAGGACAGAATTTACCTCACAAATGCAGTGCATTGGAGCAGCTGCCACCTCCACATGTGAGTTACGGTTTCCAGAAGGTTCTAGATATATAAATAGAATTCTAGATATATTTGGATTTTTCCACTCAATATGCTATTACAGGACACAAAGAGAGGTGTAATGACAATATCCCAAGTAGGTAAGATAGTAAAACAGCAGTGGAGTCCAAAAGTTGCAGTTGAGCACAGTAAGTGATTGGTTTCAATGTTGCTTTAGTCTCTGTTAGAAAGCCCGGAATGCTCAGCTTTCTCTAACCAGGTCATATTGTTCGTTTACATTCTTTTCCAATCTGAATAAACTACATGAAAGGATGGGAATGCAAGCTGGAATTCCATTTCAATGTGTCCCTAGCCCTGAACCAGCCCAAGGAGTTTCCAAACCGGTCCCTAGCCAGTTGCAACACGGAGTGTGACAGAGAAGATACAGAGCATGCTTGCTCCCCAGTAACTTTACACATACCCAAAAGACCAAATGCCTCTAAAAAGACAACCCAAGGAATGGAAGGAAGTTAAAGTAAAAAATCCAAGGTGCCTATCATAATGTATACCTCTCTATTTTATCACCAAAATACTTTGCTGCGTTTGATTTTCTTATGTAATATATTCCAAATAACTAGAAATTCCATAAAATTTTCAATTAAATTATGAGAAAAGACCCAGCTATGATATTCAGATAGTAACTGATCTGAGGGATGCAACACATGCTAATATTATTGAATTCATGGACAGAGGCAAAGGTATGTTGGAGGCAGGGATCTGAAATGCTCCCTTTCTGGGATGTAATTTTCATCTCATTGCTGATGATGGTTTTAAGTCTAGTATAATCATACAAGCTCATTTTTCCATGCTCAAGAAAATGGAACTTGATATATGTATTTAGAGGTTGCTCATAAGCCACAAGAGTGGCCTGAACTCCACCTGTCTGCCACAGTCCTACACTTAAGCTTTGCCTGCTTGCTGTCCAGAGAGAACCTTGCTGGTTTCAGGTCTTCAGGCTGTCTGCGGTAATTAGACATAGATCAGCTATTAGTAGCAGGAATCACCCAGCTATCGAACTGACTATATCTCACCCTTCAACAAATGCACCTTCCAGCTTATTCCACTTGCTAAAGCAATTGAGCTTTGATTTGGAACGTCACTGAGAAGACAAGCTACTTCTCTTAAGGAGGCCAAGTCTGCATCAAGCAGCAGGAGTGGAGGCAGGGGCCTAAAACCATGAACCTGACCTAAGAAAGATACCCTGTGCGTGTAAAGACACAGATGTAACATCTCCTTACCTGATAGGGGTAGTTGTACCAGCAGTGCCTTGTATTCCACAGCCAGGGCGTCTGAAAAAAATGACAAACACATTTTACATGTTTTGGAAATGAAGCAGGATAAGAGATGTTTATGGACAGATTCTTGTCCCCAGTATTTGGGATTTCAATAATCTACCTGTGAGAACTGAAGAACTTTAAATAGAATTAGGATATTAAAGCAATTAATATTCCATTATACATGTTCTCTGGGTAATCTTCTGAACTCGACTGGTAGTGATGCAGGAAAGACATTAGGTGTCAAAGCCAATGGCCAAGAAAGAATTCTTGAGACGTCTTTGGTGCAAAAAGGCAGTTTTATTAAAGCATGGAGACAGGCCCCATGGGCAGGCAGAGCTGCACCAGGGTCATGAGGAGAGGCTGATTATATACTTTCAAGTTGGGAGGGGATAGCATGACTCTCTTAGGAATTTTGGAAGCAAGGTTTCCAGGACTTTGAGGGGGCTAGCTATTGTTGGGAAAAGGTCATTTATTACTGTCTAATAAAACCTTAGACATGAGACCCTTCGGATGTATATCGGTGGGTCATATGCTTGAGGGATAATTGCCAACATAAGGAAGTTTCCAAAATAATTTTTATATGTTAAAGTAGGCTTACAGGATCCTGGGGAGGGGGGGAACTGGGCTAGGACTGCCTTTCGCCCTTAGCAAAGTGTATAAACATCGAGGCAGTTGAGTCCGTAAAGGAATGTCACTCTGCCTATTTCAAGGACATGTCAATGGGTGGTAAGTAGTAAGGAAATTTAATATTTTTTCTTCTGCCTTTGTTTCCCACAACAGTAGTACTTCAGGCTACTTCTGTGAGAGAGTCGCCACTAGTATTTTTTGTATTTTACTGGTCACATGGACATTTTCCTACTATGTACCCAGCTTCTGCAGCAGAGCCTTTTAAGGGTCTCACTTAGACCAGATGCAAATCATCAATCTCACCATTATCAATAAACAATGCTGACAGTTGGTGCAAACTACTCTGAAACTCCTCCAACCCAATGTCGCAAAGCAACATAATCCATCAATCCTTTCACGCATTGCTGACCAGCAGTTAAGTAACAGACGGGGGGTATACTGATTTCAGTAGACCCGCCCAGATTAAATCCAGGCCCCAGGGAATTAACCCTCACAGCACACTCCACCCCGCAGCTCATGGGCAAGGTCTTTTAAAGACAAAACAATCATTCTTAATTTGACAGCCATCACTTGCCTGACAACACTGTAAAATCAAATAGAACAGCGAAGCGTACACACGGATTCCAAACATTTATAGAAAGCAGGGAGAGACTGGGCTAGATTTAAACAGGCTGCTGAACAATCCAAGGATACCAGCACAAACGCTCTCCTATTACTGTATTATTCACTTTATAATTCGTTTGTATCTCTGACCTAGAATTATCAGCATTTCGCGGCATACATTTACATACATTTGGGATACACCTGTATGTTTCTTACTAAAAAATCACCCATTCTTCACCCGGTCCATGTTTACGCATCTCAAAATGATAACATTATCATTGAAAGATTCGTGTCGGCTGTACTTACAAGGACTTAACCTCCTTCCTTACATTGTCCCAGACCCTGCGAGATTAAAAGTTGCCACTGTGTGCAGTAGAATAAGGTCTTTGTCTCCCTTAGAGCCATATGTACTGTCACCCATCATCCTTGTCAGCCCCTCACCAATGAGGATGAAGACAACATTAGTTAATATTTGCTCAGACAGCCCTGCATACACACACACACACATACACACACATATATATATATTCTTTTTTTTTTTTCTTTTAGGGTTTTTCCCCATGATCTGTTCTTTATTTAACCAACTAAATAGTTGCTGAGCTCAAGACTGGGCTCTTGCACATGAACTCCTTTTACCCTGGACAAGAGCTCGTAGTATTTGCTTCATTTTATACAGAGGTAAAATAAGGCCCTGAGTTGGAAATAACTCTCCAGGTTAAATGCTAGGCAGTCCCAGAGATGAAAATCAAACTGACTCGCTGGTCTCAAAACCAAACTGTGCCCCCTGCCTCTGAGTCTAGTAAAAACGGAACCAGGCCTCGGTTTAGGGAACCAGACTTCAGTAAAAAGCCACTCTTCGCCCTAAACCATTCTCCTTTCATTAAAGCACTACTGATTCACCTTCGTTTCCCTGGCTTTGCCACTGGCCGTACACATGGAGTAATCTCACCGCATGTAACATCCTGGGTGCCTGAGGTGTGTGCCTGTCTCCTCCCTTTCTCTCACCTATAACATTGATATCTATTACTGATCTACCTCAGAGTACTTGTGAGGCCCAAATGAGAGAGCATGTATAAAAAGACTTTGGAGGCTTCGAAAGTTCAATGTGTTGTCAACACATATAAACACATGTCCTTCGAGGAAGACACAGAAAATAATGAAAAATAATGTGTATTTTCCTCACTATTAACATTTCACCTACAGCCCACTTTGGGTCTTTGGGTCTTTTCTTCTATTTAATACAGATATAAACATACATAGATTTGTTTGGGGGGGGGGAGTTCTTTTAATTTTATTTTTTTATTAACATGTAATATATTATTTGCCCCAGGGGTACAGGTCCGTGAATCATCAGTCTTACAAATTCACAGCATTCACCATAGCACATACCCTCCCCAGTGTCCATCACCCAGCCACCCTATTCCTCCCCCTCTACCCCACAGTAACCCTCAGTTTGGTCCCTGAGATCAAGAGTCCCTTATGGTTTGTCTCCCTCCCGATCGCATCTTCTTTCATTTTTTCCCTCCCTAGCCCCCACGACCCCCTAACCTGCCTCTTAAATTCCTCATATCAGAGAGATTATATGATAATTGCCTTTCTCTGATTGACTTATTTCGCTTAGCATATTTATTTTTAATCAATAAATTAAAACACATGTACATAATTTTAAAATGTGGGCATGACATACCAAAATCCATTTTAGAGTATAGTACAAATGTTAGGTTTTACCCTTTTTCTGATAAGGCTGTTTAGTATTTCGACAATAAGTTGAAAGTCCCAGGGGTTGGCAGGAAAGGTATATCCTATGCACATGTTTACGCCCCCAGCACCTACCCAAACTGACAGTTCAGCATTCATTTACTGAATGCTAATGAAAAAGAATACAGAATTAAATGCAAGGCCTATGACAAACCACTTAGCATTTTCCTGAATCAATCAGTCCCAAGCCTCCAGGGCATGTGTGAGCTTGCCTCTGAGGTGGGAATCTCTCCCACTGTGGCTACTCCTTCCAGTGAAAGGAAGGAGAACAAAGGTCTGACTCCCAGTGACCTAGAAAAATCCATTATTTAGAACTTTCCTTCCTCTGTGAGTTTCTTGGCTTCTCTTTCTCCCTCACATGCAGGCTGTTCTCTGTGTGCTTCAGATGTGCACCACCTAGACCTGTTTCTGTTACGTGCTGAAACTTGACTGACCTGCACGAATACTGGATGAGACTTGGTTTCTCAGTGGACCCCGCCCATGTGAGACGAGAACAAAAGGCCTGAAACTCTTGAATTTGAGGGACTTCCAGGGTCCCAGTTCAGCCAGCAGGCTTATTTGCCAAACAATTGAATGAGAAGTTCTTTCACATGTGACGCAAGCTCACACATACCTCTCACTTTGACAACATAAGGTATGGTATGAATATCACCTTCTATACACATACCACATTTTTCTGGGATCTCATGTTATGTGCCTCCCCAACCCTTTGAGACAGGTAGAACAAATACAAATTTTATCTTTCTCAAGTACAGATTAGAAAACTTAAGTCCACGGGAAGGTGATTTTCCTAATTTTTTATAGTTCAACACTGGTGTATGAATCTGAATTAGTTGCTTATAATATATTAGGTATAACTTCTTTTATTTGAATCGATATCATGAAGCTATCTTTTCTTATAATCAATTTAACAGTTTTTCCCTTTTCCATATTTCTGGGAATCTTTTCAGTTTTTACCTTTCAGTTTCCATACTACCTATCATGAGGATGGATCAATCAAAAATCAAGGAGGCTTTGTCCAAGTCTTTTGGACCCTAATGTAAACTACAGACTTTGAGTGATTGTCTGTGTGGGTTGATCAAGTGTAGTACATGGACTGGTCTGCTGGGAGATTTGATCACAGGACAGGCTATGCATATGTGGGGAGCAGGGGTATATGGATATGGACTTCAGGAGGTAATTAAGGTTAAATGAGATCATGAGGATAAGATCAAAATCCTGAAAGGACCGGTGGCCTTCTAAGAAGAAGAGGTGAGATATGTCTTCCTCTTTCTCCCTCATGCTCAGAAGAAAGGCCATGTGATGACAGCAGTGAGAAGATGACCATCAGGAAGACAGGCAAGCCAGAAACAGAGCCCTCACCAGAAGCCCTCACTCTCACCCTGCTACACCTTGATCTGGACCTTCCAATCTCCAGAAGTGTGAGAAATAAACAACTATTGTTTAAGCTACCTAATTTATGCTACTCTGTTATGACAGCCAGAGCTAGCACAGCATCTAAGGACAATTTTTTATAAATATGCTTAAAAGTTATTAAACGCCACATCAACTAATTTCAAATTAAGACGACTCATGAAACATCTGAACAAAACTGAGACAGACCACAATGCTGTGGGTAAGAAATGACTTCTAACACTCTCCATCTAAACCACAATGTATAATGGGATTTTTCATTATATTACACACATCTGCTGCCAGACACATCACTTGAGACACAACTCTGCAGCAAGCGCATCCGTCAATAACACAGTGTCCCAAGAGAGGCTTCTGTGGCTCTTCTTCCTCCAAGCAAACTCAAACCCAGCATCAGGATGGAGGTCAGAAGTGCTGTGCATGCGTGCGTGCGTGCGTGCGTGCGTGCGTGTGTGTGTGTGTGGTGGGGGAGGGGTCATCTTATAGTCCTCATTTGCATTTTGACCATATATGCATAAGATACATGATTTTTTTTTTTTTTTTAAGAGAAAAGTAGAGAAGCCTTTTTAAGGGTCAGGAATGTGCTCTTTTATCAGGTATCTTCTTTCATC